AGAACGACAACGCTCACGCTTATCTCGATCAATCTCATCTTTCCTGGAGGACAAAAGGTCCGCTTACATATGTGCGACATGTGAACGAGTTTTTGAAATCACTTTTCGCGGAAATAGAACAAGAATGGTTAACAAATTTGCACAAGCTTCAAGGCAAGCGCCCGGTGAAGCATTGCTATGAAAAACTGGTTGACAGCCAAGCAAGTCAGAGAAGTGTGAATTATTTATCGTCCACAAAACTTAATACCGCAAGACTTCATCTTTTACCCAATGGTGCGAATCCTGCGCAAACGCAGACAGCATCTAAGGACATTTTACTTCAAGTAGAAAAAATGCGAAGCGTTTTACATACGGCAAGCGGTGAAGAGACTACATCTCGAAATTGCGTAATGGCAGCAACACAACAAGCACTGCAACTGCACCGGGCCAAGATCGACCAGCTTCAGTAGACGACGCAGCAGTACCATCAGCAGGGGAGGTAAAACTGCCGACTTGGTGGATGGAGTCGGCGAAAAAAATACACTCACGCAAAGCTCGGCGCCAGAAATGTTTTTGCTGTCAAAAATGAAAAAAATGAAGTGTTTGTCAATGTCAGATGAAATGTCAGAAATGTTTTTGCTTCGAAATTGGGGATAGGCCAAGGACCCAGGTGAAACGCATATTTTGTGATAGGGTGAGACATTTTCAGCACTCCTCCCCCAAACAAATTTTTCAGCGACAGTACGCCCTTGTGAGGAACTGTGAGCCTAACCTCGCCCTGAATATATTTTTATCGACCCTTAGGCCACATGATTTAAATGTACGGTAGTTTTTTTCAAATTAGTGGCACGGAAAAGTCATTTCTTTTAGTAGAACGGTCATCAACCGCAGGTCATGTCTGAAGAAGGTCTGTTACATTTATATTTTCCGGAGATTTTGTAGCATTGGGGTCAAGACTTGTGAACAGGGCGGGGCAACCAAATATGGTAGACGGGTGTCAAACGAGGGCCCTCGCATGCCCACAAAGGGAACAAACCGACTCCTGCCTACATGAGATCGTAGCCGTCAAACCCTGCTGTCGCTGCTGTTTGACTGTTTTTGGGGGAGCGCAGTCAAGGGGCGCTCCATTCTGCCCACAGATCTTCATCTTTATCACAGTGCTCTCAAAAAAATAAATTGGCGTGATGCGTTCTCGCCGAGGTGGGCGCGGAGGCTAGCTAAGCACAGATGAAAAAGAGTCATTTTGTCTTACCATGGGGCCACAGCGCCTGACAAGGTATCCTGTGTCAGCAAGGGAATCCGTGTTGGCAGCGGGCTCATTTGCTGGAAAGAGGCAGTGACGGAACCTGGAATGTCAGCGAGCCTCTTGCAGTGTTGGGGCCCCCGACAATAAAGGGACATAGGAAATAAGGCAGTAATAGGGCCCGCATTGATTAACACAATGGAATGGTTATGTGCCGGACAGTGCTCCCAGTAACCGACAAACGACCTTGCTCTGTGTTGCCTAGAGGCCTGATTTTGTTAAAAGTGATCCCTGTGTCATTTAGTAGATCTCCTGTATCTGCAAGAAATTATTGTGCGTCACTGAAAGCCTCTACTCCGAGTCGCACTAACTGCTCCCGTCAAAGGACGGCCAGCTTCATAAAGAAGACCAGTGTTTCTTCAGAGTGCCTCTGAATCGATCGTGAGGCCCGGCGACCGTGTCACCAGAATGTCGCACCATAAGTATTCTGTGGCCCCCCAGTGTTTCACTGACGACGACGCCTGAACGAAACAAGTATGTGTTGTCAGTGTCCATTCCATGGCCCCTTCATTAATGCGCTCGTCGGAATAAGTGGATAAAAACAGAAACAAAAGAAAAGGAATCTTTGATGCCCGCTCAAAACCTAGAAACTTTCACCAGGGGCCTTCCATAAAGCCCTGTGTCACTCCTGCTCCACCAGGATTCTGGGTGCGACCCTGGGCACGTGCACATGGATGACACAGAAACCAGCGCCGAAAGAAGCGGGGACAGCGAGAACGGCGAGCCCGATTGCGTGAGCCTGACTGCATGCAGTGACACCAACGTCCCGCTCGGTATGGGAGATGCAATTTAGGTTAGGTTTACCGACATTGCACCGAACTAATCGTTTGATGACGCAACGTATTTTTAGAGACGGAAGGAAGGAAGGGTGGCTTTTCCCAGCAAATTTGGCATGCAGTGCAGCTGTGACCAACGGAAACGCAAATATCCAGATCGTAATCTGCATCACGCGGGGCTGTGCGCTGCTCTCGCTGTTTCAGGACTCCAGTGACGTCCCGTCAACGTTGGGCGTATGGGGTGCTAGAAAGCCGGTCAGGCGTACTTGTATGCACCGCGGCTGGGAAATCAGTTAGCCTTCATGAAACATACCAGGCTAAGGTTGTAGAAATTCTCGAGAGATTTGTCAATTTTTGTGTGTGGTTTTGTGGGCTGGACACAAACGAGACGTGTCTTCTTTAGTTTTAATCATCTCCACGGTGCACCTTTGTTTTGCTTCTCCCGCAAACACTGGAGGAACCGCTAATATGCTTTTTTCACGTAGTAATGGAGCTGAATATAATGAAAGCTTGCGCTATGCATCCCACTTAACTCATTTTCAGCAATCCGGCTTCAAGTCTTCAAGTCTTCAAGTTCAAGTAAATGCAGACTTATTACATTGGACGCCTTTACCATCTTGCTGAGGCTCTGGAGCTCTTATAACAAAACAAGATGGCATGCATCGGGTTTCGTTATTTCCAAGCTCTTTTGCAATCTCGCCGTAAATGATGTATGACCTAAATGAGCTTTTAACTTTCCGCTTAAACAACAGGTAGGTTTACCCGGGACGGTTTTGCTTCGCGTACATCCTGTGTCATGCACGTAACAGTGCATGATGCATCAAACCTGGAAACATTCAAACGAAAAAACTTCTATGACGCCACAATTCGCTAACGCGCGTGCTCCCAACCAGTACACCAGCGGTGCAGCCAGGGCCTTGGCAAGGGGAAGGCACAGGGATGAAAGAGGGCCTCCTCACAGTGAAAGTCCCCACAAATCGTCGGAGATGACCAGCTGTTATTGAGGACATGTTTTTTCCATATATGTATATATATATATATATATATATATATATATATATATATATATATATATATATATATGTGTGTGTGTGTGTGTGTGTGTGTGTTGTCAGTGTCCATTCCATGGCCCCTTCATTAATACGCCCGTCGGAATAAGTGGATAAAAACAGAAACGAAAGAAAAGGAATCTTTGATGCCCGCTCAAAACCTAGAAACTTTCACCAGCGGCCTTCCATAAAGCCCTGTGTCACTCCTGCTCCACCAGGATTCTGGGTGCGATATATATATATATATATATATATATATATATATATATATATATATATATATATATATAGATCCAAGAAGAACACAGCCGAGCGTACCATTACACTTTTGGCACCCGGAGCGCACGTTCAAACAAACACGAGCACACTGTGACCCCAACCCAACACAGGAGCCCCCCATTGTGTCAGGAACCCCGAAAATTGCAAATCACGGACCCGGCCTCGTTTCTGCTTGGGGAAATGGGTCTCAAAGGCTTAGACATGGAGCCGACTGTTCGGTGTTCGTGGACTTTGACCGACTTAGACACCCGCGTTGTCTCAGGGGTCCCCAAAACGGTGCATCTCTGAGGGTCTCTGATGCTTCAGGCCACGATTCTACGGACCCCGATCCTTGATGTGACCTACAGCCAGTCCTTCGGCCCCTTACGCTCTCGCAAGCGGGCCTTTGATAATCGGTTCCAGTGGGCCGCCCGGGTCCCTCTTTAGCCCTCATCAAACACTTCCCTTGGTCGGCTCGGGCCCTTGCGAGCACAGAGCCCTCTGTTAGGCTCTGTGGGCCCCCTACAGATACAAGGCCCCTGACCAGTGTAAATCACTGACCCTGGCTTTATGGCTGATTGGGAAGTGGTTCCCAGGTCCATGCCGACACCAGGTCGGCTATGCGGTACAGTGGTACCTGACCAACATTTAGCCCCATATCGGCTCAGGGGGTCCCCGATCGGCGCAAAGGGCCCTCTGACCATTATATGAGGGTTCATAATTGCAGGTCTGGCCCCTGAATAAGACTCCGACTAGCCCTTTATGCCCTAGGCCCTCCAAACGGGCCTTTCATCGTCGAACTCGGTGGGCTTTCTAGGCTCTTCGGACCTCTCGAACACTGCCTCCTGCGGGCCCGGGGGCCCTTGACAGCACGGGGCCCCAATAAGGCGCTGTGGGGTCCCGAACAATGCAAATCACCGGCCCCGACTTTTTCTTTGCTTGGGAAATGGGCCCTTAGGCCCATGCCGCCACGGAGCCCACTGTGCATTACTGGTGGCGTCTGACCAAAATGTAGGCCCTTATCGACTCAGTGGGCCCCTGATCAGCACGCAGGGCCTTCTGGCCGACATTTGAGTGCCCGCCCCCCCCCCCCGGCCCTGTTGAGTATATATATATATATATATATATATATATATATATATATATATATATATATACATATATCACAACTTGACAACACTCGGCTCTCGGAATGCATCAGCCTCCGCTTCCGCATCGGTAACAATCTGTTAGCAGCTGCAATGAATCATTTAATCGGCGTAGTAGCCACAGCAGATGGTTTGGAGTATGTAAATATCCTGGTATGGTATAAATACCGAACAGTGCAGATTGTTTGGGAATCGTACACTGAATGCTTTAATGTCCTTTCCAAGGCTAAATGTCTGCAATACTCATTTACTAAAGGCTTTTTGGTAACATGGCTCACATTTATCGACGTGGTCGCAGATGACACTGCCGCTCCGTGCGTGATATTCGCCATCCGTTTATCTTGACTTTTTAACCAAACAGGCCTCCCCTACGCCAATCATGTCGTTCACAGTAATATTTTGACCAATCATAGCGCTTCAGCAAGGAAAACCTTTAACTGCACTGCGTGTTCGATCACGTTGCAATAATACGTGGAACTTCAATGGATAAACAGCCCTCTGCTTATTCCAGAGGTGTCGGCCCTTGCACTGGGGGCCGAGGAGTTGAGTGGGGAGTTTTTGTACATCAAGCAGGCATACTCTTTAGTCTGACAAGTACATACAAGAAGTTTTGCCCTATTTGGTAGGTACTGAGTGAATGTTTGTGTACTCCGTGCGGTTTCAATGGGTTCCAGGCGGTGTTCAGCGCAGTTCTGAAGAACTGCGCTGTGGGTGGCTTAGTTATTCGGCTAGGCCGAGCCAGAGTCAATTTTTTGTACGGAATTAAATCCAGTCAGTGTTCGCGTCTTGTAAACATGATGGTAATTCAGTTCTCAGCCATATGATAGGTAGGTATTTCAGTTCTCAACCATATGGTTGGTAGGTGGTAAGGATTACAGTAAAAAACAATCCACTTTTAATGATTTAAGCCATGGTGAAGCAAAATGGAAGCTGTGATATTCCTAGATAAGACAATATATAATAGTTTTAGCTTTATTCCTCAGAGAAAACAGAGAATGGAGATGTAGTGGGGTTGAATGTTCGTAACTGATATTCATCTGTGATGCAGATGTGATGTGCCAACAAAATTGTGGGAGGTGCTTGTTAGGTCCTTGGCTGCTCTGGCTCAATTTTTGAGTTGTGCTGAGAATGTGTGTGCTCATCATGAGAAATATGTCAACCAAGTGGATCTTAAATATGGATGTGGAATGAAACCCGGAACAAATTGCTGTCTGTTTTTCATTCTATCATGAACAGTTCTGAATTTGAAGAAAATACTGCACATGCACAATCTGGGAAAGAGAATGTGGTCAAATATTTGGCTCAGGTATTCTGTAGCAGTTAGAAGGCTGGTGAATGCCCAGCTGGACTGCACACATTCAAAAATAACCTTTGACAATGACTAAAACCGCAGGTGATGCCTTTCCCCACAGCCCTACTGACACCATGCTAGCTATACAATTGCCTTACAGTGTAGTTATTTTGGAGTGATGTTCAAGTTGGCTGTATGCTTGTCAAATTTATGATTTCCCTGGGGTGCAGTCATTCAGAGCCATGTTTCACATCTGGCTTTAGCACTGGCTTTGTGTCATTTTAATAGGTGGGGATGGCATCACAATTTTCAGCTGTATGCCAAATGCAAGGTTCTCACAAAGTCCCGATTTTGGGCATCACACAATGAAAACACTGCATGAAAGCAAAGCCTGATACAGACACCAGAAAAGCCTGATAGAGAACTTCACTCCATATATTTCTTTTCCCCAAAAAACTTGACCACTAAATTGCACCATCCATAACATATTTCAGTGGAAAATTCAAGAAATGCCTCCTGAATGAAATCTATAAGCTGAAGGTCAATGTAAGCACTCATTTTCACAGATGTCCAATCAATCTAGTTTATTACAAAATTTGACCAACTCTATTTAAGTCTATATTGTGACAACTGCCAAACTGTAGTTTATTCAGGAAGTAGTACACTCTTGAACTAGACACTCAACCTGCACAGCATGCAAAGGGCTCATTAGCTGGCAACAAGCCATACACAGCATGCAGCCTTGGGAGCCAGCATAAGGGCCATGCAGCACACAGCAACGACCATGTCCATGACTACATGAGCCAAGCAACCATCATGCAAGCCACTACCATCATGCAAGCCAGTACTGCATGTGACACCAACAGCACATGCACAATCACCAAGGCATGCACACGCAACATGTCACAATATCTACTTGGTTATTTTTGTTTCTCTTGGTCTCATGTGAGTGTGATGCAGCTTCATTTTTCCTCTCTTTTTAAGTCATCTTTAAAAACATCATCTGTAGCTTAAAATTTTGATAATTTCTGTGCAAAATTATCCAACTTCAAGCTTACAAATATTTCATACATAACTTGGATTCATTCACCAGCTGCCTAAACATGTTTGGCACCACCCAAGAAAGAACAATTTGTGGGGAATGAAGGAGACAATTTGAAGTACCAAACTCATTTTTACTGCCATTTTTGCTGTGCGAAACCCTCAGTTAGCCATTTTTTGGTTCATAGTGGGGCTCGTTAATGACAAATCTAAGCCACTCCAGTTTCAGTACCTCACAACATTGTATTATCTTGCTGTACATAGCTTTGGCATGGACCTGATGCAGCTAATACAGAAGTGTTTGTTAGCAAAATGCATTTTAGCTTGTAGGCTTGTGGGCATGGTTGTTATTTGTATCTTATGGGTGGATTGCATGACCCTGTTTGTTAGCAAACCGTGCAAGATATACTGACTTTTCATGTAGGGGGAGTGGAAAGAAGCCTGCCCCTAAAATGCAGTTTCTCCTGTAGAGTGACTAATTGCAAACCTAACCTGCTTTCATCATATTTGTTACCAGATGTGTTCAGTTCCTGTTTAAATGTATCAGGTTTTGTTCATAAGACAAATTGTGATTCCATGGTTTTGGTATGGTTTTGAGCAAATAGACCATTCCATTTGAAATGTGAAGCCAACATCTCAAACTTTAAGTCACTAAATATGAATGACCAAACCTTAATGGATGCCCGTGTTGCACCTGAGACTGCAGCAAAAATGGTTTTGTGGCCATCTATAAGTTATATTTGGAGGAGAAAGAATGTTTTGTGGAACATACTCACCATTGTCCTTGACAGAGGCTAACCATGACAATCAAAATAAGTTGTTCAAGGTGACTTGAGGGGTTTTGACTTGTGTGCTGTTAACTGTCTGCTGTCAACAAGCTGACATGAATTAATTGAACCAAAATACAAGTTGAAAACAGCTAAAAATGAGCTTTATCATGTTTTTATCACAAGTCATGTGGCAAGAAATAGTTGAGGTGACTTAGGATGATGTTCAGCATATGGGCTACTCTGAGGTGGCCTAAGTTGGTTAAATTTGTGACAAGTGGCAGTAGGAACTTTGCAAAAATCAGTGACTCACAAATCCTGCTGTGACACAAATATGTTAGACAGAATGAGAAGGTTGGGCTTCTTTAGGTTAAGCCTAGTTAGGTTACATTCATGGAAATAAGCATTGTTATTGTGCAAGAAACAATGACATGATATTCATACTTCCTGACCCTGTCTGAACAGAAGCTGGAGGTATTGCTGTGGTATTTGATTTGGTGATGTGCTGACATGGAGGAGTCCAAGGTTTTCTATTTGAATGCTTTATGCTTTTTGCATTTTTGCTTGCTGTTTTTTGTTGTTGAATTCCTTTGCTTTCTTTTGCATTAAAAAAATTATGTGGAAGGGAAGCACAAAGTACAGCATAAAGACATTGGTGCTACATAGTTTTTTATGTTCATTACACTATTATGAAATGCTATTATTTAATGCATTATTTTTCACTGTCATGGGCTGGAGTGTTATAAAAACACTTTTGTCATGTTTCTGATATTACATTCATGCCAATTTGAAATGCAAGTATTTGTTTGCTTGTGCATCTCTCACTGACTCATAAGTTCCAACATTGTAATTTGAACTTCCCACCCTTCTATGGCCTTGTGATGTATTGTTTCACTCCCACCCTAGTTCAATAGCAGTTCCAGCTCACTGTCCAGAAGGAGGCACTACAGATTGCTGAAGACCACAAACTGTGATGAGTGGATGCAAAGGCATGAGCTCTTTGTAAGCATGCTGCCGATACCGGGATGGGCTGGGTTAGCCCGCTCATGGTATAATTTTGTCCTTGTTCAAGTGGTATTCGCTGGCATAGCGGCCTCGCTCATAACACAAGTAATCGAAACACGACCTTTCGTTTATTCACGGGTGACGGTACATGTCGTAGCTCTAGTGGTGGCGTCACCAAACATGGCACGAGACTGACGAGCTGAGGTCCAAACAGTGGTGCTAGGGCGACAGTATACCGAGGAATTGGGATCTGAATTTGGAAACAGTATGGTCGGTACGGCCACCGTGGGCACGTTATCCTCCCTCCCCCCGCCCCCGCCAGTGGCCAAGCCCCTGGGATCTGGTGGATCGATGATGGTATTGGGAGCACCAGTCGGCTTCCTTTGTGTGTTGATGCACAAGTCAGTGACGTCATCAGTTTGTCCGGGCCACCTGGTTATTTGCTTTCATAGTTGCGTTTATTGAGTTCGTGCCTACCTTTCTATCTTGTGGTGCGTCTGGCTTTATTAATCAGCGGCAGATTCGCAGATGTGACCAACACCATGGGTTGTCATTTGACTGAGTGCAGCAGCTTTTCGGGATATTTTGGTACAGCAGGTCCTGAAGCAACACTATCCTGGAAAAGTGGTGACATCGTAGTTGTTCTAAGCATTTTCTGCGTCTGGCGATAAAGGCGAATTTTGCGGTCTCATGGAAGTTTTGGTCTGCTTGATATGGTAGTATGGATCACTCGATTTGTAGGCTAAGGACCGTTTATTGTCACACGGTGACATGGGTTCTGCCCAGTTACGCACATATGTGGACAAGCTCTCCTTTCATACGTATTGTAGTGTTCGTTGTTTGTTTAGTTGGCGACATCGGTCGTAAAGCAATGCTACCAAGACCGGCGGGCTGAGCGCTCGGCCCTGGCGGCGGCCGCCTGAAACAGTGAGCGTCAGCGCCAGCTGTCTGTTTCCTGTTTCAGGCGCCGCCGCCATGGCCTCGCGCAGTCTCACCGACGTCTTCCTGCTGATGCGCAACAACGCGCAGCAGACGCGTCACATGTACTCGGCGCACGGCACGTCCGACTCGGAGGCGCTGGTGGCGCGCGAGGCCGACCTGGAAGCCGGTGCGCCGCCGCCGCCCTGGCTGGCCACCGTGCAGCAGGTGCAGTTTGCCGCGCGCGACGTCCAGGAGAGGCTGCACGAGCTGGACGCGTTGCGCCAGCGCCACCTGACGCGGCCCACGCTCGACGATAGCACGGCCGATGAGCAGCAGATCGAGGCGCTCCAGCACGACATCACGGCGGCGCTGGCACGCGCACAGCGCAGCCTGCTGCTGGTTCAGCGCGCCGGCCGCGCTGAGCCGCCGCCGGCCGCGCGCCTTTGCCGCCAGGTGGTGCTGGCGCTGGCCACGCGGCTGCAAGAGCTGAGCGGCGAGTTCCGCAGCTCGCAGGGGCAGTATCTGCGCCGGCACCAGCAGCGCGAGCAGCGCTCGCAGAGCTACTTCGACGCCATGATGCTAGAGGAGAGCGTGCCGCCGGACGCGGGCGAGGAGGACCGGGCGTTCATGCAGCACGGCGCGCCGCTCAGCGAGCGCGAGCTGCTCCAGCTGGAGGAGAGCAGCGCGGCGCTGCAGCAGCGCGACCGCGAGGTCCAGGAGCTGGTGCGCTCCATCACTGAGCTCAACGTCATCTTTCGCGATCTCGCCAGCATGGTGGCTGGTCAGGCACAGCTCGTCGACCGCATCGACGTCAGCGTGGACAACACCCAGGTGAAGGTGACGCAGGGCCTGCGGCAGCTGCAGAAGGCCGACCAGTACCAGCGGCGTGGCCGCAAGATGTCCTGCATCTTCGGTCTGGCTGGGCTCATCGTGCTGCTCCTCATCATCCTCATCTCGGTGAAGTCATAGACCAGCGGCGCCGGGCAGCGTTGACGTGCAATCGGAAGCGATTGTTCGAGGCTAGGGGTGCTCGGAGGGGAAAGAGGCTGGCGACTTGCCAACTGAAGCAGACTGGTCGTGCGTCCCGGGCGGCGTTCATAGGAGCGGCTGTGCCTATTGTCGCTGTTGACCGTTTCCGATGTTTTCCTTAAAGCCGCCCTCCTGCGTTCTTCTCCATTCAAATATTGCGTAGGAATGGATGCGGCTCGATTGCTAGTGGCTAGTGACCGTTGAAGTGATGGTAGCGTGCTGCAGTTGGCGGATCGATAGTGGCGTGGCGCGTGGTAATTGGTCGACGTTGCTTTTACCAGGCTTTCGCTGGTGCATTCCGGATGATTGCCGTCAAGGCGTACACGGGCTCTGGAACGCCCTGTGCATTCCTTACTGATACAAAGGCGACGTTGACCTCAATATGGTCAATGATGGACGTGCGCCTCAAACTAACCTTAGCTGAAGACAATGTCAACTGCTCTAATTTGACTGTTTTATTCAGCTCCTACAAATAGGCAGACGCATTGTTCATTGTACCCGACTTACCTGAAATCACTGGACTATAAAAACACGCGTGTGAATGACATGAGGTATTTGAGCAGTGTAAATTTTACGCACCGTAGTTTCCAGGACTTGGTCAGGATACAAACACTAGGAGACTCAAAAAGTGGCTCCATGCGTATGAAACCATTTCGGGGAGCCACCAAAACGTCCAGGATTGCAGCGTCTGGTGTTCATACCGTCCAAGATCGCAACGTCCAGTGTTCATAACGTCCAGCATGCCCCATTTCGTGCCCATTGGGGGCGTTTATAAGGTCCAGGCGTGCAACGTCCAGATTCGCAAAGTGCAGAGTTGTAAAGTCCGGTCCAGAGCTCCAACAGAGGCTTCAGCCAAGACTGAAGACCCCGCGCACATCCCGATTTAGGCTGAGGGTCCTTTCCGTCCACTTTCTGATTGCCTACCGGCTACTATTGACACACATGATACACTGGTCTCCTCTCTGACGCCGAAGGCCCTCTGACCGGGATGGTTGACCCTGGATCAACGCGGGGCCACTCAACGACCCAAAAGGTCCCAAGGGTAGCGAGTTAAATAAACGGCACAGGGATCCCAGTTCGACGCATTTGGACGCTGAAGAAAACGGGCAGAGGCACCCTGTCCGGTGCTGGTCGCCTGATTGATACGAGACACTTCCATTAAGACACCCGTCAAGAAGGAGGGGGCCAAGGAGGAAGAGGGGGGGGGGGGGGGGGCGGGAGGCAGCTCCGGTCCAGCACGGGCGAAGTGCTGGGATGTCCGACGTGTCAGGGGCCTCGGGCTGTGACGCGAAAATGGCAGCACACCCGACTGAGCTGGTGGTGTTTCGACCGTGGACGGGCTACCTCACCGACGGGCCTCGCGCGCGTGTGGCGGGGCTACGTTTTCGGACGATGGACGGCGCGCGCGGCGTGCGCTCTTCATTTGGCGGCCGGGCTGCCTCGTTCGCCGGCCCGCCACGGGCGTGGCTGCCGGCCGGACCGTCAGCTGGGCAGCCTCTGGGCGGGCCTGTGTGCCCGGGCTCCGCGTCCAACCGATTGCACATTATTATTCCCACATATGTACAGTGATTGAGCGGAAGCATTGCGAACTTGGTGGTCGTCGGTTCGTTTGTCGGACGGGCTGTAACACCGATCGAGGCTTAACGTCTCACCGGCTGTCACGGCCATTTCGGGTCAGAACGCCTCTATTGCGTATTTATCAGGCATTAGGTACGTGGGATGCGGTAGTAGTGTGGCCAGGGCCCCATCCCAGAACAGAAAAGTCCGGAGACGAGCACCCTAATCACTAACCAACATGCCCCCATTGCCCCTCTGAGGCGCGCCCTGCACCCGTCTCGATAAACTCCAGACTGGTGCTGCTGGATCCCAAATGCTACACTCAGGAGGTTCTGAGGCGTAAAAGGAATAAAGCGTGTTAAGGTTGATGAAGTGGATGGCGAATGCAAGCTCACGATTCTTCCAATTTATCCCGCTTATATATGGCAAACTAGCTCAGTGACATATACTCAGCTCCACTGTTGAGATGGCGAATCACCAACGCCTTTCAGCGTGTTTTGCATGACCTGTGGCAGGCGGTGAAATACGTTCGCAGTCAACGCTTGCTTTTTTACTCCCTATTTACCTGCAACCGGGAGTGCGGTTCCGCATTCAGTTGCAGCAGTCTCATCCCCCGCCGTGATTTGGGTTGCAGTCTGCAGATTTATGAAAAGCGAGCCAAATTCGGAGAGAAACCAAGCTGTTGGCATGTTATCGCGGTGCTCTTCGTTGTTTTTCATCGCTCAGCCAACCAACTTATTTTGGGAAACTACGCCCCCGTTTTAAAAGGACCTAATTGAAACGAATTGTTTGTAGGCTGGGCCATTGAACGTGTCTGACCATGGAGTAGTATCCGGATTTAGCTGATGAGACGGGCCCCCACCCTCTATTTGAGAGGAAAGGCATGTAAAGTTCGGAATAAGCCCTGTTTGTGAGAGCGTGTGAAAGCATTTGCAATTGGAGAAGGGAGGGGAAGCAGCCAAATAAACCACCAATAATATAGGTTAGCGTGGCAGGAGCTGGAGATCTACATGCGCGTCTACCTGGAGCACTCGTCAAATCAGTCAGCCCTACACATCAGTCATCAATTCCTGAACAAAAATTAGTTGGGAAACATCACCAACACATACAGTAAACAACGGAACCAAGTACCGCGGATTTTATTCATAGCCCGCAATACCAAACAGCGGGCACCCGAAATGCCTTCCACGATTACCGTGCAGCTACTGCCGAGTAACCGGCTACTTCCGATGTCACGGGCTAGAGATCAAAGTTTTGAATTCTTTAATGCGCCTGCTGCCGAGGTCGTGCTGACGCGGCACAGTTTGTGTGCTCCAACAAAGCGTTGTCCACATCCATCACAGCCGCTCAACTAGGGCAGCGATGTACCGCATGACGTCACTCGTCGGGTGAGACGGGCGAAATCGGCTACGGTAGCCCTCTATCGGGCGATATCCAAACCATCATGTGAAGGGCTGCGATGCGCGATGCCCCGCCGCGATGTGCGATACTTTCCCCGCACTGAGCGGCGGGGTGACGGTCTGGCGTCGCCGCGCCGCCGCGATGTGCGATACTTTCCCCGCACTGAGCGGCGGGCTGACGGTCTGGCGTCACCGCTCCGCCGCGATGTGCGATGCTCTCCCCGCACTGAGCGGCGGGGTGGCGGTCTGGCGTCACCGCTCCGCCGCGATGTGCGATGCTCTCCCCGCACTGAGCGGCGGGGTGGCGGTCTGGCGTCACCGCTCCGCCGCGATGTGCGATGCTCTCCCCGCACTGAGCGGCGGGGTGGCGGTCTGGCGTCACCGCGCCGCCGCGATGTGCGATACTTTTCCCGCACTGAGCGGTCGGACCGGGAAACCGCTAAAGACCCTGGGGTGCCGGACATATCGAAGGATGGACATCATCGCCCTCGCCTCCTACCCCACAGGAAAGCTGTTTGTTTACCTCGCCAGTCGAGCGTGGTGCGACCGTACATCTTCCCAAGCGGCAGAACTCCTGCCCTGCCGTCATCGGCGGGGGTCCGGCTGCAGAGGACCCGTTCGTGTGCGGTGGCCCGCCCTGCGGGTCATGGTGGGCGATCGCGCCAAATCAGGGGCCCTAACTCTGCCCTCTGTCTTGCAGTGAGCGATGGCGACGTACCAGGAGTTTATCCAGCAGCAGGAGGACCGGGACGGCGTGCGCCTGACGTGGAACGTCTGGCCGTCCAGCCGGCTGGAGGCCACGCGCCTGGTAGTGCCCGTGTCGGCACTCTATACCCCGCTCAAGGAGAGGCCAGGTGGGGCTGGCGCCGCGGACGTGCGCACGGGCGGCCCCACGGCACGTCCACAGCCGACCTGTGTTCAGCTGGAACACTAGTGTTGTCTGCACGAAACACCGACCGTGGCCTGCTCGTTTGGTTCCTCCAGCATTACCAGACCTCTTGCCGGAGGCTCCGGTCCTCCAGCATTACCAGGCCTCTTGCCGGATGGTTTGACCGGTTCATTATCACCATACCCCACGCCGGATGATCTGACCGGTTCAGTATCATCAGATCCCTGGCCGGATGGTTGGGTCAGTTCGGCATCACCAGACGTCTGACCGTCCGGCGCGACGTAGTCATCTGACGTATAGCCTGACCCCTGTCTGACGGCCTCGCCTGTCGTCGCCAGACCTCCAGCCGGTGCAGTATGATCCCGTGGTGTGCACGCGCACCAACTGTCGCGCCATCCTCAATCCGTGCTGCCAGGTGGACTACCGCGCCAAAATCTGGGTCTGCAACTTCTGCTTTCAGCGTAACCAGGTGAGTGTTGCCGTGGCTCGTGTTTGGTGATATGAAACGTAACTGCACGGATAGGTTTAAGAAGGCAAGTGGATGCAATGTTACTGAGGGCCGAGTTGGCTAATTCCCTGGTACGAACAGACTTCGAGGTCTGCTTAACATGTCTAACTTTTATACCGTCTGCCCAGTCTGTGCTTTCCGTTCGCGAGGCTTACTAAGGTTCACTGACCGAAATGGAATGCGATAAACCTGATGTTATTCGTTTATTTTCTTCAGTTTCACTTAGTTTGCATGTAATTAGGTGTGTTGGATGGCCCTTGAAATGTAATAATGTATGAATAAAAAGCCATTTGCGTGTCGTATTACAGTGCGTCATTTTCCAACATGGAAGTGCCATCCAGCCGTAATTATAGTGCTGCTCATTGATGTGGCTGGTGTCGGAACCGCCGGCGCGAGCGTGCCGCCGACCGATAGGTGTGGTGCGGCGCGGCGCCGGTGGCGCTGCGGTCTGGCGCGCGGGGGCCGTGTGTGACGTGGACTGGCCTCGCGCGCCGCCAGTTTCCACCGCAGTACGCCTCCATCACGGAGCAGCACCAGCCGGCCGAGCTGATCCCGCAGTTCTCCACCATCGAGTACACCATCACGGTAGGTCCGCCGTGCTGCGACGCCGGCCATGGCGGACCTGGCGCGGCTTGCGTCAGTGGCGTGACGGGGCCTTCCCCGATGTACGCCGAGTGCGGCGCTGTGATGCGGCCGCCAGACTGCGAGGCAAGGCACACCCTCGTGGAAAGTCCTTCACAGTGTGTGTGGAGTCCATCACTTAGACACTCCCGCTGTGGCACAAGGCACTGACGACAGGCTCCTCGCCGTTGCCCATGACACGCCAGACCGATTGCACGCACGGGTGGCACGACTGTGGTTCGTCCGTCACACGAGCGCAGGGTGGTAGGTGCAGGTTATGCGTGGCGGTGTGTGGTTGGGCGGCGCTTCACTGTCCTTCGACCGACTCTGGGCGGATCTGCTCGCCAGCCTGCAGTGCGGTAGATGCAGCGAGTCCGTCTACCCCACTTGAGGATGTGACTGCTACCGGGTCACACGCCGGCCCGACCAGTGCAAACACTGATACCTTCGGTGGGATAAGGACCCGCCACGTGTCGTCCCTATGCACCGCTGCGGCCTGCTGGGACGCAGCCACATGGCATGGGGCCCGAACCCGCCGCGTGTCGCCCCCACCGACGGTCGCGCTGGGAGGGACCGCGACCGTCCCCACCGCGACTCTCCCGGCGCCGGTCTGTCGTGCCGCGCCGTGACGCTGCGCCCGTCCGTCCCGGCCCCGGCAGCGGGCGCAGTGTATGCCGCCCATCTTCCTGCTGGTGGTGGACACGTGTGTGGACGAGGACGAGCTGGCGGCACTGAAGGAGTCGCTGCAGATGTCGCTCAGCCTGATGCCACCCAACGCGCTCGTCGGCCTCATCACCTTCGGCAAGATGGTCCAGGTGGGTGTGAGGACGAGTCGCTGGACGGCGGTCAAGCGGCAGAGCACACTGGTGTTGGCAGAGAGGCTCCCCGCGACTGTTGCTTCGGCCGTCGCTGGAAGCGGAGTCGCAACAGGCCTGTCGTCTGTGAGTGACGTGCTTGTGACATCATAGGCAACGAGCTCAGACAAGTGTTTTGCCATTGAGAGACTGGCGGGACTGATCTGCGCCAACGTGAACTTACCTGGCGCTGAGATGGAAGAGCTGCGCCGAACACGTGCCATATATTCATGAACCGTTTCCAGCAAAAGTTTCATCTCGCAGCTGGCGGCAGTGTGGTACCGCCTGTAACACGCGGCCGCGCGGCAGGTGCACGAGCTGGGCTGCGACGGCTGCTCCAAGTCGTTCGTGTTCCGCGGCACCAAGGACGTGACGGCGCGCCAGGTGCAGGACATGCTGGGGATCGGACGCGGCGGCGCGCCGCAGCAGGCGCGCGCGCCACAGCAGCCCGGCCAGCCGCAGCAGCCGCAGCAGCAGCAGGCGCAGCTCAATAGGTTAGCTGGCAACCAGTGAGTGCATGGCGCTGGCGGAGGTGGCGGTCACCGTGGCGTGTGTCGGAGGCTGTACCCGGCCGCCATGTCGGAGGCTGGATCCTCGCGATCGTGGCTGGGGAGGCTGAGAGACGAGAGTCGAGCTGGGTGATCAGTCTAAAGAGGAGTTAGTTACCCGACTCGTCGAAAGAGGAGTTGCGTCAGCCGCACCTCGGTTGACATTTGATGGCTCGGGAGGACAAGCACAACGGATGCCTATGGCGGGACACAAACACACGCACTGCAGTTGTGTCTCTATACAATCTGCGGTGCGGTCGTACTCACAAGTCTTACGTGATGTACGTCGCGGTACGTCGCGGTCTGCAAGTGTGAAGACCTTTGGATCCATCCTATTGGGTGGTGGTACAGACTACGCGGTTTGCTTGCGGGTTCGGATCTGGGCCAGTTTTGCAAGGGAATTTTGTTACAGTCATAGCATGCTGCTGAACCTTACTGGGGATGGTATACTCAGTCTTAAATGAGAGCCTGAATTTCTGTTGCGTAACTGCCACCTTGTCATTTGCGTTGTATTCAACCTCGTCTCTTGTACCAACGCCGTTGTGTTGGTTGGGTGATGGGTGCATGAACTTAAAAACATCGGCACACAAAACGGTGACGGACCAAGGCCACGCCTTCTTTTGTGTGTAAGCTCATGATTGCGAGACCCACATGGCTGTTTTTTTGTTCCTTGGCACTGAGTCTCACAGCTTCTGATGCGAGAATTGGGCGAATTTTGCGCTCATGACAAAGTAAATTATATATTTAATATTTAGGTTTACATAACCATAACTATATATATATATATATATATATATATATATATATATATATATGCATGTCATCGGAGGCATCGTCGTCGTCAAACTTTGATATTCAAACCAGTGACGCACAGGCGCGGTTTCATCCCAGCGTAGTGCATCGCCAAGCCCCCATGTACCCGCTGTGGCCCCTGCCCGGGGAGCCTGACCTGTCTTGCCGCCGCTGCTGACCCGCCCGGCGTCGGTGCTAGATTCTTGCAGCCGCTGCACAAGTGCGACAGCAACTTGACGGACCTGCTGGGCGAGCTGCAGCGCGACCCGTGGCCGGTGCCGCAGGCCAAACGTCCGCTGCGCTCAACCGGCGCCGCGCTCTCCATCGCCGTCAGTCTGCTCGAGGTCAGTAGCTGTCCATAACGCGCCGCGCCACTAGCTGTCCAGCAAAACCCCGTCTGCACTCGAAATGCGAGTAGTCATTGCTGATTGGCGAAAATAATGCACGTGACACTGGCCGATTGACACGTTCTGTGCTGGTTTTAACAGTGCCATCTGGCGCAGCCTAATTTGACGGACGCGATGCATTTGAGAGTTAACCAAGATTGAGCTGTACATGGCGCCTGATAACGACATGGTGTGGTATGTCGCGCCACAGATAGGGCTAGTGTATCTCAAGTCTTTCCTGTCTTTCCTCTGCTCGCTTGCTTTTCTGTTCTCTGCTCCCGGACTGGTACGTGCAACTGTTCTCTGATCTACAGGTGTCATTAGGGATTGACTCCTCCTCTAAGGAGCCGTTCGCGAGGGTAAACGCCTGTCGGGCAGCCTGTGCTCGTGCTGTGTTGTCCCGGCCTCGCGCCATTGGGCGCCCAAGTCACGTGCAATGCCCGCCACTTTGTGACGTCCCGATCCATGTTCGGTTTTGGCATAACAACGGCAGACATAACTGGATTGCATGACTAACTCCTTACATGGGATGTTGGGCTTGAGTATCATTACCACATAGCTCTGCTTATTTCTATGGTATCCAAAGTGGTTTGATGGCTGTTTCCATCTTTGGAAATACCAAGTCATGTACAGTGCTACCATTTTAAGCTGGTTTTGGCTGGGATGTGGTGGTTTAGTATCATGGTGGACTACCTGTTCTTGGTGGTGGCTATCGTTGCGAGTTTCGTCGGGACTGGGATATGGTGATTTGGTATTTGTTTGTTTTATTACCTGTTTTTTATGTAGGGTATCTTTACAAGCTTCGTAGATCGATTAATCAGGAAATCCTCATGCACATTCTTATAAGCATGCACTCATTAATGGCATATGTATTCCAGTATGGCTTTGGTTCTCCTCCAGTCAGTGCTTTGGTCTATTTTCCCATCTAATGTCAACACCATCTGAGTTGATTAATTTTGTACGTTCTTTTCTGTCGAACATCATTTTGCTCTGATCTTTCTGCCTTCCTATTCTTGGCCTTCTCGTCACTGACTCAGTATTCACCGTTACCGGCTGGTAGAGCCGGCCTTGTTGCCGGCCCGGCCGCCGGGCGGCGCGGTGTGGCGTCCCGGGCCGGGCCTGACGTCCATTGGCACGGCGCGCTTTCAGTGCACATTCCCCAACTCTGGTGGGCGGATCATGCTGTTCGTGGGCGGCGCGTGCTCCCAGGGACCGGGCATGGTGCTCAACGATGATCTCAAGAACCCCATCAGGTGAGCTCCCCCCCCCCCCCGCCCCTCGGACGGGGTGCCGGCGGCCGGCGGCGGCTGGGACGCTCGCCTCTAGTGAGCAGCTGGTGATCTCTGGCCATCAAGCTGGCCGTCCCTCGAGGGTCAGTGGGATGTGAGGGTGCGTCAGCTGCAGTTATCAGCCGCATTGTGGCCATCAGCTGCAGATATCAACCTTGGTGTGGCCATCAGCTGCAGATGTCAACCGCAGTGTGACCGTCAGCCAAGCCATTTGTCTCTTGGTTACTGCTGCCAATGGAAGTTTGCTCCCATTGGTTCTGGCAGACCTCGCGTGACGCTCTTTGTCGCCCGTGCGCCGTCCATTTGTCGCACAAGGCCGGACTCTGGCGAGGCCGCGCGTCCAATGCTTCAGTTTTTCTTGGCCAGTGCGATGATGGTGCCAAGCACGTGACCGCAGAGCCTCAGCTCAATCCTCAGCCCGCTCATTTCGGCCCGCTGCTGCAGGTCGCACAACGACATCGAGAAGGACAACGCCAAGTACATGAAGAAGGCCATCAAGCACTACGAGGCGCTGGCGGGCCGCGCGGCCAACAATGGCCACGCCGTGGACATCTACAGCTGCGCCCTGGACCAGACCGGCCTCATGGAGATGAAGTACTGCTGCAACCTCAGCGGGTCAGTGGGCCTGCGGGGTGGCCACGGGCGGGGTGTCACCAGGACCAGACCGGCCTCATGGAGCTGGAGCACTGTTGCAACGTCAGCGGGTCAGCGGGTCTGCGGGGTGGCCACGGGGCGGGGTGTCATCGGGAGCACGCCGGGACGGCTAGTTCTCGGGGAGGCGCAGGCACGGCGTGCCGTCGCTGCGTCCGTGTATGGGGCGCGGCTGGTGACCGCTGCGCGTGGGTCTGGTTCGGCAGGGGTCACATGGTGATGGGCGACTCCTTCAACTCGTCGCTGTTCAAGCAGACCTTCCAGCGGGTGTTCGCGAAGGATCAGCGTAACGAGTACAAGATGGCCTTCAACGCCGTGGTGGAGGTGAAGACCTCCCGGGAGATCAAGGGTAAGGACCCACTCTGTCAGGGACAGCAGCGGCTGGACGAGCTAACCTGAACGCGACTGCGCGGGGCCGGCAACAAATCGCCGAACCGTCCGCAGCCGTGTTATTTTTACTTGATCCTTAGCAGCTGTGAGAGGGCTTCGTAAGCCACTGACTCCATGCCCCCCCCCCCCCCCCCACATTGACTTCTTATTGTCGTTTGTCTCCCCTGCGCGAGTCCTCGTATGTTGTGCTCGGTTGCCTGTGCAGCTGCCTGTATCTGGACCCCGTACTCGGTGGCAAGTCCCGGGGCGTCACTACTAGGGCTTCACCACATAAGCTGACCGTTCGCCAGTGTCGGGCTGCCTGGGACCGTGCGTGTCGATGAACAACAAGGCGCCGAACGTGGGCGAGACCGAGGTGGGCGTGGGCGGCACGTCCCAGTGGAAGTTCTGCTCGCTGACGCCCAACACCACGCCCGTCATCGTGCTGGAGGTGGTCAACCAGGTGAGGACCCGCCGCCGCGCCGGGTGCTGGAGGCGTCTGAGCACACCTCAACGTCTGAGCTCCTCACGCGTGACCCGTGCGTGGCCGTGTTCCGTCGTGTACTTTGCCTCAGTGCTTCACCGTGACCCGTGTCTCGTGTGGCACGCTGACCCGCGACCCGGCCGGCAGCACGGGGCGCCGATCCCGCAGGGCGGCCGCGGCTGCCTGCAGTTCATCACGCAGTACCAGCACTCTAGCGGCCAGAAGCGGGTCCGCGTCACCACCATCGCCAGGAAGTGAGTCCGCTGCGCCCGCTCGAGGTGCGGACAGGCACGCACACCATGCGCACGGTCCACGTCCAGATCAGCGGCCGGCTGCGGTGTGGCCGGCCGCTGTCATGAACCGCGCGAAGCGTGTCATTTTCTGGCGCTGTCGGATCACGTCCGCTGGCTGGGCCATCGTCCTCTCCTGGTCACTTGGCCACCGTTGCGCCGGCGGACGGGGCGTGGCTGGGTGCGTCGCGGGCGTCCGCGGACTCCAGGTGACGCCGGCTCCCGCCCGCAGCTGGGCCGACGCCACCACGGGCATGCAGCACATCTCGGCCGGCTTCGACTCGGAGGCGGCGGCTGTCACCATGGGCCGGATGGCCGTGTGGAGGGCCGAGAGCGCCGACGGTCGGGACGTGCTTCGCTGGGTGAGGTCGCGCTCAGCGGGCGGCGCCACGGCCGCCGCCCGGCCTCGCTGGTGGCCGGGCCGCGCGAGACCGGGCGCCGTCGGCGCCATCTGAAGACTGGTGTCCCGCCGATATGACCGGACGTAAAAAAAAACGTATCGTCTAAGCATTAGTGTGGGAGGTGTTGACTTGTTGGACATGTAACGCTTGCCTGTCAATGTTAGTTGCTAATACTTGATATATCCATATGTTGTCTCCTCTTTATTTGCCGAGTGCCGACAAAATCAGCCGCATATGCCGCTGAACAATGTGCATGTCCTGTTTTTACAAAAAAGAACGAGATGGCGCAGTGGAAACCCACTGCCGAGAACATGAACTTGGAACCCGCCTGTCGCCCATGTGAAGGGGTAGGGCAAGAGCGGACAGTCCAGGCTCGTATCTCACTGGACTGGCCCCTGCCGGCCGAGGGACGATGGGCGATGCTGTTTCTCGGACCTTGTTGCGCCTTGTGCCCGCGCGCCAACCGACATGCTATGTCAAAGACGCCACCTCCTGCCCTGACCCGACCCAACTTAACCTAACCTAATTTGACCCCACCTGACCTGGTGCGATCCGACCTGGGCTCCGCAGGTGGACCGCATGCTGATCCGGCTGGTGCAGAAGTTCGGCGAGTACAACAAGGACGACCCCAACAGCTTCCGGCTGTCTGAGAATTTCAGCCTGTACCCGCAGTTCATGTTCCACCTGCGTCGCTCGCCGTTCCTGCAGGTGTTCAACAACTCACCCGACGAGACGAGCTTCTACCGGTGCGTGCTCGGACGTCCTGTCAGGGCACGAGACGCTGCTCCCCCGTCTGGGTCTCGGACGTCCTGTCAGGGCACGGGACGCTGCTCCCCCGTCTGGGTCTCGGACGTCCTGTCAGGGCACGGGACGCTGCCCCCCGTCTGGGTCTCGGACGTCCTGTCAGGGCACGGGACGCTGCCCCCCGTCTGGGTCTCGGACGTCCTGTCGGGGCACGGGACGCTGGTCCCCCGTCTGGGTCTCGGACGTCCTGTCAGGGCACGGGACGCTGCTCGCCCGTCTGGGTCTCGGACGTCCTGTCAGGGCACGGGACGCTGCTCCCCGTCTGGGTCTCGGACGTCCTGTCGGGGCACGGGACGCTGGTCCCTCGGCTGGGGTGACACGGCGGACCGGGCTGCGCGGATGGCGGTTGCTGCGCATGTGTGAGCAGCGGCGGAAATGTGAAAATAATGCGAAGTTTATGAAGGGTGCGTAATGATGGTGGAGATTGTAACACTGAGAGAGCTATTGTATTGGATGGCCTGTTTGTCCGGACAAAACATGGAGTGTGATGCAGGCGCGACGATTTCAGGTGTTTGTCTGGTAGACATCGACGTTAGATTCATGAGTGTCCAATCACAGCAGCCACCCACCGATGTCGCTCGAGAGCACAAGTGGCAGGCTTGGGCTGCCCGTGAGCAGCAGCCGTCACAGCCGCCCCACGGCGCGCTCACGACGACCTCTGGTCCCTGCAGGCACATGCTGATGCGGGAGGACCTGACGCAGAGCCTGATCATGATCCAGCCGATCCTGTACAGCTACAGCTTCAACGGGCCGCCGGAGCCGGTGCTGCTCGACACGAGCAGCATCCAGCCGGACCGCATCCTGCTGATGGACACGTTCTTCCAGATCCTCATATTCCACGGCGAGGTGAGCCCGCTCCGAGGACGTGAGAACGCCCAGCGGCCGGCTGTCGCGTGCGTGCGCCAGCTGAAGCGCGTGGGAGACAGGCCCAGCGGAGCGCTGTCTCGTGAGAGTCACCATGTTGATGGTTTCGGTTGGCGGCACTATGCGTCGCTTGTTTGCGGTGATGCTTTCGCCTGCGCAATGAGTGGAGATGTGTTTGGCCAGCCGGCGGGGTAGTCCCGGCCTGTTGACCCGGCGGCGAGGCTGGAGCGCGGAGCCCGGCCCTGAGGGTCACCGCGTCTGTCCTACAGACGTCGCCACACCGCGGCCCGTGTGGCTGGTGACGTGCCCCACGTCTCTGTCTGTCGTGCAGACGTCGCCGCACCGCGGCCCGTGTGGCTGGTGACGTGCCCCACGGCTCTGTCTGTCCTGCAGACGATTGCGCAGTGGCGCGCCGCCAAGTACCAGGAGCTGCCCGAGTACGAGAACTTCAAGCAGCTGCTGGAGGCGCCAGTGGACGATGCGCAAGAGATCCTGCAGACGCGCTTCCCGATGCCGCGCTACATCGACACGGAACAGGGCCACTCGCAGGTGCGCGGCCCGGCACCGGCCCGACAGGCCCCGGCGCTGTCGGACCGTGCAGAGAGCCGGAGCCTCGCGCCGCGTCGGGAAGGCTCACCCGGCCGTGCTGGAGCGGCCTTTTTTACGACGCCCGCGCCTGTTGTCGCTAGGGCCAACAATTACGCCGCGGCGTAATGGCCGTCGGCGGCGCGGGATGGGGGATGTCACTGCCGCGGTGCCTGCTCCAACCAAGTCCGTGCCGCTGTGGTCGGCGTGTCGCAGCAGCCGTTACCGAACCGCCCACCGATGCGCCGCCCGCCTGCGGTGATCGGACCGGCAGATCGCAGAGCGCGCCATTGAGGAGCTGTGTCAGACCAGCGTAGGCAGACTCGTGTGTGCAGACCCCGCCGGCCACCGTGACAAACTGCTGAGGCACCCGCCACAGATGGCCTGAAAGCCCGTGGTCGCGTGACATGGCGCAGGCTGACCGGGGCGGGTATCCTGCTGACCAACAGGCGCGGTTCCTGCTGCACAAGGTGAACCCGTCGCAGACGCACAACAACATGTACGCCTACGGCGGCCAGGTGGGTGCGCTGCGCGCGCAGGGCGTGCCGCGCCGTCGGCGGGGACGGCCGGGTCCGGCTCGGCGAGGCGGCGCCCTGGCGTTGCCAGCTCCAGTCGAGTGGGCGCGACAGCCGCTGGTCTGTGCTGGTGTGCGCAGCGGTTGGAAAGCCGCTGTGTTTGTGGGGGTTGTACTCAGTGCCAGCGCCAGTATAGACGGGAGAGTGTTAGTACTCGGGGCCAGTGAAGACATCTGTAGCGCAATTTTGACGTAAGGTGTGCTTTTCGGTAGGATGGCGCCAGTTTCGTTCATGTCCCAGAGGCTGTAAAGCCTCAGCTTAGCGGGGTAACATGTCAAGCAAGGTCGAGCTGATTGATTGGGCGCATGGGACGCATTGTCAGCGCGTGTCCGAACGGCGCTTTGGCTTGTCCATCGGCGTGTCGTAGATGTTCCGCGGTGGGAAGTCGCACCAGGCTGGTGTCACGCGAACGCACAAAGCTCTCGACTCCTGGGCTGTGCCACGTCTGCGGTGTGCGTCCGCGCGTGGGCGGTCGGCGGCGGGATGGCAGGGCTCCGCGCCACCCGCCCTCCGGCTCCGCCGGTGCCCGGCCCTCCCCCCCCCCCCAGGTCACGTGACCCTGTCACCAGCTGACCTCCCCCCACAGGACGTGGCTATCAGCTCATCAGGGGTACAGTATCGACTATTTGTTGTCTCGGTGTGGGCCGGTTTCGGGGCACGCTGCATGCTCTCTGGCGGTCTCCCCCAGCTCGTCCTGCTGTGTGTCTGTGCCCTCCTCGGGCCTTTGATGCCCCGTCCTCTCTTCCTCTCCGTGTTGCTGGGACGCGGCGCTTCTGTGGGGCGCGCCGCTCCACCACTCTGGGCTGTCTGGCGCCGCCTTGGCATCGGTGTTTCCACTTCACGGACTCGCCCTGCTGTGCATAATTGGTGTGCGAGAGCGGCAGGCGGCGAGCAGCACGAGGTGACCGGTTCGGCGGCGGTGACCCTGCTCCCGCTGATCCTGCCGTCCTCCGGCGGCGCCCTCCGCGCCGTTCTCGGTCGTGGTCCCGAAGCGCTCGGTGGTGGTCGTTGAATAGGTGGTGGCGCACGCTGGTTCCTGAAAAGAGCATCCCCACCGCGATTGTGTCTCTAACGATCGTGACCGAGCTTTATCATTTGATGTGAAGTGGAAATTCAAGTGAATTGCCATCATTGGCCGTTAAGGCGGGGTGTAAGGAGGCCCTGTAGCCTAACGTAAGGTTGTATTGTTCATTATCACTTGCATTCGCGCTTGCAATGCGTTCTTGATAGAAATTGTTGTGTGATAATTCGCAAACGCTGTTGGACTAGACGCCGCACGCAATTAGTCAGTTCACAGTTAGTCGGTCTTCTAACATTCTGGAGCCATTACACTGATGTATCTTAGCTTGAGAACGTGCCTGACTGGCGCGTGATCTCCAGAAGCCGCGCCAACGTAAGGCAGGGCATGGTCAGCTGACTGGCCGCCCCCTGGCGCGGGCTCGAGGGGCGGGACCTGACGCGGCGCGTGCCGACAGGAGGGCGGAGCACCGGTGCTCACCGACGACGTCAGCCTGCAGGTGTTCATGGAGCACCTCAAGAAGCTGGCCGTCTCCTCTCAGGCCTAGGAGGCCTCCCCTGCAGCTGCGGCGCCCGTCCGATGAGACGTGGCCAGCGGTGGTGCTGGTCCAGTGGGACGACAGCGGTGGTGCTGGTCCAGTGGGACGGCGGCGGTGGTGCTGGTCCAGTGGGACGGCAGCGGTGGTGCTGGCCCAGTGACTTGGTTCAGCTATTGCCCAGTGACAAGCGATCAGCTGCACTGGGGTCGACGATTCAGTAGCGTGTGATCTGGCTGCGAGACGGTGCTGTTTTGTTGGATGTGGGTAACGTGTGATGTGAACTGCTGTTTATTAGTAGATTTTCAATCTCGCTCGTGCTATACTTTATCGTACAGTTAGACGCCTACAACAGTATGAATATACTTTGCTACGCTATACGCCTTGTCTCCTAAATATAAGGATTCAGCGCGGAAGGCGACCAGAGCGGAAGGCGACCGGAACGGAAGGCGACGGGAGCGGAAGGCGACCGGAACGGAGGGCGACCGGCACGGAAGGTGACCGGAACGGAGGGCGACCGGCACGGAAGGCGACCGGAACGGAAGGCGACCGGAACGGAAGGCGACCGAAGTCTGCCGCCGATCGCACGCGCGGGCCCGAGCAATACATACTATGATCATCATCGCGCACGGCTTGACGCGTGCGACAGCAGCTCAGAAGTCACGTGCTCTGCGCCCGAAGAATACCGACCCCGCTCCACAGACTACAGCCGGGGGGCGGCCGCGCTCGTGCGGTGTTGCGCCATTGGCCCCCTGCTGACACGGACTCATGCTGTCTAGCGCATTGGCTCAAAGCCGGCATACTAATCCTAACGGAGGTGACACTATATGACCATTTTGGTCGTATCTTGTCACGTGCATTATGTGGGGCTCTCACCGTCGTTTAAACGCAATGTGATACTGAAACTGGAACAGACTAGCATTCTGATCTGACTTGACGTCGCCATTATTTGGCTAACGTTTACTGCTTCGCCATTTGCCATGTCACGATCTTGAATACAGACAATCGTCCTCAATTTTGGGCCTTGTGCAACTTGTGCTTATTTATCCCCGGCCGGCAGGAGGCATCAGTGAGCAGGCTGCTGGCCGTCAATATGCCCATCCCTGGTGAGCAGGCTGTTGGCCGTCAATATGCCCATCCCTGGTGAGCAGGCTGTTGGCCGTCAATATGCCCATCCCTGGTGAGCAGGCTGTTGGCCGTCAATATGCCCATCCCTGGTGAGCAGGCTGTTGGCCGTCAATATGCCCATCCCTGATGAGCAGGCTGTTGGCCGTCAATATGCCCATCCCTGGTCACGTCACAGTTCTCGGTCACGCACCTGCGTTGGAATATCACATAAGCTGCCCATGATGCGCATTCAAGCTCGGGCACTAGAGCGTTTTAGGCCTTGGTAAGGTTATGACTGCGAATGGACTTTTGCAAACTGCAGATTGACAGCTAGGTTTAAAATGTCATGCACAGGCGTATGTGTGAGTCATTTCTTGAACGCCTGAAGCACTGCTAGACATGCCCCGGATTGTGATCTGCTCAATACGTCGCGCGCTGTCTCTGAACACATGCATCTACTGTAAACTATGCAAGTCGTTGGGACCAAAAGTGCCAGCGACCTGTCGGCGCATGTCTGACCTGATCCTGACCTGCTGGGGCACGTCTGACCTGATCCTGACCTGCCGGGGCACGTCTGGATTCGTCGGCTGTTCCCGGGTCCGTTCCTGATCTTCGGGCGGGAAGCGGGACTAGACCTATGCTCACTTGATGCCGAGCAGGCGACAAGCCGTTGGCCAACTCGTCTGTTGTGAGCCAGTGCGGACGAGTGACCGAACAGTAACCCGTACCTACCCGATGTTGAGCCCTATTGACCTGCTGTTAGGCGGCGACCACACAGTGATTAAGGACTGATTCGGGGCGGGTAGGCTGATGCTAGGCTACTGTCCCATGACCTGACAGCGGTCTGTTCTCACCTGAAGACGCGGGAAAATGGCCGGACACGTGCTCGCCTGATGTTGGCGCCGACCATCATGTGCAGGACGCAGAGCAGCACCTCCCGCGAGATCAGGTCACACGTGCTCGCCTGATGTTGGCGCCGACCATCATGTGCAGGACGCAGAGCAGCACCTCCCGCGAGATCAGGTCACACGTGCTCACCTGATGTTGGCGCCGACCATCATGTGCAGGACGCAGAGCAGCACCTCCGGCGAGATCAGGTCATATCCGTCTAGGTGTACATCCGGAAGGCGAACTGCAGCTTCTGGCCGCGCGAGTTGTGGCGCGTCTCGCGCCCCTTCCGTATCAGCCGGAAGATGACCAGCGTCTTCAGGAATCGCCGGAAGTTGATCTGCGGGTGGGAAGGCCCGGGCGTCAGCTGAAAGTTGATCTGCCGGTGGGAAGGCCCGGGCGTCAGCTGGAAGTTGATCTGCCGGTGGGAAGGCCCGGGCGTCAGCCGGAAGTTGATCTGCCGGTGGGAAGGCCCGGGCGTCAGCCGGAAGTTGATCTGCCGGTGGGAAGGCCCGGGCGTCAGCTGGAAGTTGATCTGCCGGTGGGAAGGCCCGGGTGTCAGCGTCACCTCAGGCGTCCATATCACGATCGCAGACGTCCATGGAAAACGTGTCTCCTTGTTCGCATACTCATGTTAGTTGTTTATAAGACCTTACGTACGCACATCCCATGACTTTTTAGATAAAAAGAGTCCAATGCACACCAGCCTCACATGCCACCTTAGCAATCAGGGCCATAGTGCAGTCGGGGCTCAAACCCGGGCCCTCACGTGGAAGCCGAAGGTGTCAACAAGTCGAACGTTATCAAACATACAAAAGCCGGCGGCATACACCTAAGATTATGCAAGATTATGCAAGATATATCATGGATCTTCACTGATGGCCATGAAGATCAACAGCTTCTGACCGACCTTTTGCTAGCAATTAGGTGAATGACCACCAAGAGTGACTACTTTCTTTCTCTGCTCAGTTCTCACCCCTGCTCACCCCTGCTTTCTCTGCTCAGTTCTCACCCCTGCATGAATGCAAAGTGTCATTTCACCTGCTTGACTCTTCCCACTCCCGGCAGTTTGCACACCGGTTACCTCGCTGGGGTCGTTGCGTCACGCTCCCAGTTGAACTGGGGGCGTGAATACATCACCCCCACCCTCACACCCACCCGCCACGGCCCCTCGGAGCCCGCTTGCCGTCGTCACCTCGCTCGCGAACGGGGGCTGGGGACGAAACCGGTTAGGCTGGTCGCGCCCCTACACCCGGCGGCGCGCCTCACCGACACGTCCTCGGCGTGCCAGAGGGGGGTGGGGGGTACGACACCGGTGAGGCCAGTCGCACCCCTATACCCGGCGGCGCGCCTCACCGACACGTCCTCGGCGTCCCAGAGGGGGGGGGGGGGGGCACGACACCGGTGAGGCCAGTCGCACCCCTATACCCGGCGGCGCGTCTCACCGACACGTCCTCGGCGTCCCAGAGGGGGGTGGGGGGGGGGAGGGGGGTACGACACCGGTGAGGCCGGTCGCACCCCTATACCCGGCGGCGCGCCTCACCGACACGTCCTGGAAGAAGGCGCACACGTTGCGGTCTCCCAGCGGGTTGATGGCCAGCTCAGGGATGCGCAGCAGGTCCTCGCGCGACAGCGTGCTGGCGCCGAACGCGTTCAGCGTCGTGAGCCGGCTGCACAGGCGCCCGATCTGGCTCGGCGTGAATACGGGCACGGGCAGCATCAGCCGGCTTATAGCAGCTGGAGGTGCGCGGCAGATGAGGTCGTGCTTGAAACAATACACCTTTTAGGAAAGAAAGAAACCCATTTGCATGTTTTCAAACAGCACTAAACATGTCAGTGTTTGCAGACGACTTTGCAAAGATTGATAGAAGCAATATGTTCTCACGAGACATTCATGAGCATTTGGAAAATGTCGGCAACATGGCTCAAATCATACAAGCTTTGGGTACAGGCATTTAAAGGCCCCACGTCTATTTATGACATGCATGTAAATGTGCTGAGCAAAAACAATGCATACCCATTGGGACTTTCCAATCTCAATGCCAACCACTTTTTAAAAAGTGGAGAAGACAAGCAACTTTGGCTCAAGTGTTCTTTATAACACATAACCCTAGCAAGCTCCATAGAGCGGATATCTCAATTAGCCAGACTATTTGTTAATGCCAGAATGAGGCTTGGTATTTTAAAATGATTGTGTTTGGTCAGGGTAGACCTGATTAGGTCAGAAAAGAAGCTTCACAGCAGGCTGCTGAAGGAATGTATAGGACTGCATCTTTTTCGGTGAGGGAAATCACTTTTTATGATTTATCAAGCAGCGTGCGCACCATGAACTCCACACCTAACATTGAAATTTCAGGTGAGCGACAGAATTCAAGCATAGTCAAACTGTAATCGATTCTTCCGATCAATTGCCATAAGACCAATGCTCTACGTTCTCAGAAAGCGTGGAATGTTCAGGTGCTATGACATCCACGGAACACGCGTTTTGAGCCTAGGAGAAACTATTGCCATCTAAATCATGTCAAAATGGTGTCTGCCAGTGGTCGCACCGATGGACACTATTCCAGCCACTACTCTTTGGAATGTTTGTGAGAGACAGATCATGCCGGTGACCCGAATGTTGAGTCAGTCCATGCCTTTCTCCGGCCCCATTGGCAACTCAGTGTGGACACGCCTGAATGTGGTTTTTCATGGATCATTTGGACTTCCTTGCAGTAGTTTCTTAACGCAACAGAAAAGGTCGCACAGCTCCATTCAAAACTGCATGGTAGAAGAGAGTAAGGCGAATGGAAGCCTGCTGGGAAAGGTGGTTTGCTGCCGTTATCAGCTTCATTCGTGACACGGAACGAAGACCATAAGTCGTGTCACGTAACGTCGTGAGCAGCAGGTAAAACACAGCTCATTTTTTGCTTTATTTATTTTTCGAGTAGCATCACCATAAGAATGTAGACCACGAGTGCATAAGCAGATGCAAGTAGACCGTGACAGGCTCCTGGGACGTCGTGAGAGCGTGACAGGCTGCTGGGACGTCGTGAGCAGCGTGACAGGCTCCTGGGACGTCGTGAGCAGCGTGACAGGCTCCTGGGACGTCGTGAGCAGCGTGACAGGCTCCTGGGACGTCGTGAGCAGCGCGACAGGCTCCTGGGACGTCGTGAGCAGCGCGAAAACACACCCGAAAAAACTTGTCCCACTGGAAGTTTTTAATTGATCATTGGTTCAGTTTTCCAGTGACGTCATCAGCAGAATGCAGGACACGTGTTATTGCGATTAAATGCTTGATTGTTAATGTTGTCGTCAAAAGCAGCCTGTGAATCCCTGTGATATCGTGGGAAGCAAAACAAGCCCAATTTTCACATTTCTACCAGTGACGTCATGA